TATGTGCATGTGAGAGAGAGAAAGGAGAGAGGGAAGAGAGAGTAGCATTCTTGACAGGGTCTTGTCATGCTGTGACCTCCCCCCGCCCCAGCCTTCTCTTAATAGCTTGTCTGGCTCTTAGGTGCCTGCATACACACCTAGCCTGTTTAAGATCAGGCTGACTGGGGATCTAAGCTTGCTGGCTTCCACATACTGCAGTTCAGTGCACTACCACCTCGCCACCGAGGTTGGGCTTAAATCTGGTTTTCCCATCCTACCTTTTTTGATCTTGGTCTTCACATTGGTCTCCAGCCTAGCTCACAGCCCTGCTACATGGAGGACTGAGCAGCTTGGGAAGCTCAGGCTTCTTGCTATTTATAGTTTGATCTTCATCTGACCTCTTCATCCTAATTCCTTCTTCTAAACATGCTATCAATGTGTATAAGGGACCTGGGAACATCAGATTGTTTGCTGCCAGGTACGGGATTTGTTCCTTCTTAAGCTGCTTGAAGTTGCAGAGGAGGTGCTTAAAGTTCAAGGAAAGGCAGCGGAATCTAGGGTGTCAGTGTCTCTCTGTCTCACATGTCTCTCACCTCTTCCTATCTCTCATGAATCCTTCTTGACACAGAAGATTAAGAAGAGCCGGCCTGTGCTATACTTTTATTAGTGTCTCTGGATACGTTGGCTCGCCCCATGACCCTTGAGTGAGCCCTTCATGGTTGGAGGCCTTGTTTCTTTCTTTTTTTTTTTTCTTTTTTTGGAGAGGTTTTTGCTATAGGGCACATGCACTCACCAGACAGACAGAGAGAGACAGAGAGACAGAAAGTGAGAAATCTCCCCCCAGTGGTGATAGCCACGCCGCAATCCCTTCTCCTCCATTCTCCTCTCAGGATCTTGGGCACACACACACACGCGCCTGGCGTGAGTTTAAGCCACTGGGTCCGGGACTCGAACCACGGTCAACTACGTGGGAGTACAGCGACATAGCCATTACGCTAACTGCTGGTCCCGGAGGCCTTGTTTCTTTCATACTATTTTCTCAGCATCTCCACATGCTGGGTCCTAGCATGCGTTCAGTGAACAATATAATGAAGCCAGAGAAAGCCTTTCATCTCATAATTAAAGCTACATCACTAAGCACTGGCTGAATGCGGGTCATACCTAACCACAAAAGAGGTCATGAAGTTGCTCTCTTAGTTGCTGTGGTCATTAAGATAACAGACCAATTGGCTGACTAATTAGTGGTTAATTTTTAATCAGGAAACATTGGTATGCAGACATGTGGTGTGAGGCAAAGTTGTGGTTCTTAAGAAGTCAAAATAATTATGGGACCAGCAGTTAGCGTAATGGCTATGTTGCTGGACTCCCATGTAGTCGACCGCAGTTCGAGTCCTGGACCCGGCGGCTTAAACTCACACCGGGCATGTGTGTGTGCGTGCCCAAGATCCCAAGAGGAGAATGGAGGAGAAGGGATTGCGATTTGGCCGTCCCCCCCTGGGGGGTGACTTCGCTTTCTATCTCTCTGTCTCTCTCTGTCTGTCTGGCGAGCGCACGCAACCCTATAGCGAAAACCTCTCCAAAAAAACAAAAGTGATTTTAAGCTGTGTAATTAAGTTATCACATAAAGAGAAATGCTTCTGGGATCAGCACATGGTGTAATGTGCTGGACGTCACTGGACTCCCACATGGCCAACTGCTATTCGAGTCCTGGAATGGAGTCTTGAAACTCAGGCTGGGTGCATGTGCATGCATGCCCAAAATCCCGAGAGGAGAGTGGAGGAGAAGGGATTGTGTTGTGGCCATCCTCCCGAGGGAGTGTGATTTCCTGCTTTCTATCTCTCTGGTGAGCACGCACACTCAATTGCAAAAATCTCTCTAAGAGAGAGAGAGAGAGAGAGAGAGAGAGAGAGAGAGAGAGAGAGAGAAATGCTTCCTAGGAGTTGTTTGGGTTGGTTTAATAGGGTGACCATCTGTCCCCATCTTCCTGGGACTGTTCGGGTTTCTAGGACCTAACACTTTAACTCATGTGCTTTGTTTGTTTGTTTAGTGTATTTATTTTATTCATGATAAATAATGTGTATGTATATGAGAGCCGATTGGACTCCTTGACAGGATCTCATCACCCTGCAGTCCACTTTCCTAGCACCTCAGTTCCGAGTATCTTCAGCACACACACAGACACTGACACACTGATTAGCCTTAAGGAAGGAAAACTATTGCCAAACTTGTAGCTCTCTCGCACTCACAACTCTGAGTTTTTCTCAGCCCTTTTTGAGAACCTTGAAGGCGTGACTTGTGTTGGAAAAGGAAAGGACTTTTAAGTCTTTGGAAAATGGTTCCAGAGGCTTAGAGAGTGTTGAACAGCCTTAGAAAGCAACCTGTGGGTGAGTTAAGTACTTCTGTAGCTTTGCTTTGTAACTCAAAGGTGTGGAAATCAAAGAAATTGAAAGGAAGGCAGCTTGCTTGAGGCGTGGTCAGCCTGCACTCCCCAAAGAAAAGTGCTAGAAAAATAATCAGGGGTTCGGCTAAGCCTGAATAGCTTTTGCTCACTTATCTGGACAAAATGCCAGTTTCTCCTCCCACATTTTTCCTTTGCCGTGACAGTTATTTGTTTCTAATAGTATTCCTGGAAGATGTTTTGTGAATATTAAAAGCTACATTTTCAATGTTTGGGTCTATATATGACTTTTGTTTTTTGCTTATAGGGTGTATGCACTCACCAGAGAGTGAGAGAAACAGAGAAAGTAAGAAATCACCTCCTGGGGAGGTTGACACACCACAATCCCTTCACTCCAGTCTCCTCTTGGGATTTTGGACATGCACACACATGCACCTGGCATAATTTTCAAGCCATTGGATCCAGAACTCAAATCATGCAACTGGCCATGTTGGATCCAGTGCCTTAACCTCCACCCCATCTGCTGACCCTATGTGTGTCCTTTAAGTTTTTGCATCAGTTCTCAAAGGTGAAGCCAGTCTTTAGGTGAACCTAGGCATGTTTGTTATGGCAGTTGTGATCTGTGGCTGTGGGGTACAGGCACCCAGGTAGTTCAGTGGGCAGTAAATGTATCCAACATGGTCTGAGTGCCTCGTCCCCTCCAGTGGGGTGGTCAGTATTTTCATACAGTGTTTCTCAACCTTTGGAGCTTGTGCAGTCAGCTGGGATTTTGTTCAAATGTGTGTTCCTATGCAATGTATCTGGACTGGGTCTAGCAAGCAGCCACTCAGCCTGGTCGCTCAACCACATGTGATGGCACCTATCAGCCTTGCTGTTCCTGATACCACAAGGAGTAAGTCCTGTCTTTCTACTACCTGCCTCTGCACTGGCTCCAGATGGGCCCTTCAAGCCACTGAGATAATCAGATGGCTCCTGTGGTTCCCATGTTACTCCCAGGGCCCCTAGGGTGGTTGTCTAAAGCACCATTCTTTCTCCTCTATGTTGGAGGTAGCTCTGAGCTGCCACGATTTCCCACTACAGATGTTATCAGGCTGGTTGACTGGGGAGATTTTAGCCTCTTTGGCTGTCTATCTTTCTTTCTCACTTTCTTTCTTTCTTTCTTATTTTATTTTATTTTATTTTTTTACTTGCTGGAGAGAAAGAAATAGTGAGAGGGAAAGTGATAAATCGCTCCTCCCCCCGGGGGGGGGATGATCATGCCACAGGACCTTCTCCTCCATTTTTTCTCCTGGGATCCTGACCACGAATGCACATGTACCTGGTGTGAATTTCAAGCTATTGGGTCTGGAACTCGAACAGCAGCAGGCCATGTGGAGTCCAGTGATGTAACCACTATGTCATTTACTGGCCCCTCTTTGACTTCATCAGATGAGAATAAGCTTAGGGCCAACTGAGTGGTTTCTTCCCAGCTACCCTCTTTCTTCCTCCTCCCTGTCCCCTCCTTTCTTATGTCTTCTTTGTTTTTGTCATTATATAAACAACATAGGTGTATAGGAATTAAAGGGGGAAAGTCAACACATATGGAAGGAATTAAGTGAAGGGCAGACATGTCCTCCTCAATCCCTGAATCCCAGTCCCTGGAGGTTACCTTTGTTTATACATTGAGATTATACCTACTAGGTATAATCTTTAAATCCCACATAAGGAACCCCAGCCCTTTCTTGATTTAGTGTTAAAAGGATTCTGTCTCTCATGTGACTGGAAGCCCCAAGAAAGTTTGGCTATAGGGCTGGTTGATTCAGTTGCTCTTTGTGTGGTTGGGTTCTGTGTGTTTACTCTGGATCATCCACATCATGAAGGCCATCTTTGGGCTGGTTCCTCTTGTGATCAGGTGGCCACACTGGTGGCTGAGCATGCATTTCTTTATTCTTACAGCTGGGAGAGAAGGGTATTTCCACTCACTTTTCTGTGCCAATAAAGTAGTTACCTTCAGTCTGGACTGATTAGGGTAACAAGGATGTGCTGTGCTCTTATTGGCCTACACTAATCATTTGGACTCCTAGATGGGGATTTGAAGTCTTCCTAGAAATGGGAAGATGGGATTGCCACACACAGGGCTTATCTTAGGAAACATGAAAGACTGGGTACAAAACTAATAGTGTCCATACACTTTCCAAAATCCCCATGCACATGACTGTAGTCTTGATATTCATTCTTATATTTATTTAATCCTGACAGTTTGACAGGTACCTAGGTTATCTTATCTAATAGTAGCAATAAACAGATGAGGGAAATACCATTCTTAGCCTTGCGTACACGTGAAAAATTAAGACAAAGACTGCTCAAATGATTTTCCCAAGGTCACACAGCATGGAAGTAGAAGATCTGAGATTTGAATCCATGCATGCAGCCTCCACACTCTTAACCTTGGATAATTCTGACACTCAAGTTGCTTCCTGTGGACTAGTTTCTCATCTCCAAGTCAATGTTAGAAACTAGAGATTGGGCTGTACTGGGGATGCTTTGCTGTCCTCCCAGTTCCCACATGAATCAGGCCCCTAACAGAGATACCAATAAGTGAAGAATGTTGTGAGTGAATTCAAAGCTGTATTTCTGTCCCTAGATCCTAATAACTATTATCACCGCCGGAACGAAATGACCACCACTGATGACCTGGACTTTAAACACCATAGTTACAAGGAAATGCGCCAGGTAAGACCCAGACCTCAGTGTCATGCTAGGGATTTGTCAAAAGAGCAACATGTCTTGCACCCATAAGCAGTTAATTTAAAAAAAATACACACATGTGCACACAGACACACACACACACACACATAGGATGATTTGTTAGTAGATTGAAATCTGAATAATCACTGATTTTCTGAAGACACATTAAATGCATCATTTCAAGATTGAGGATGCCTTGTTGGGATGACCAGAGGTAGGCTTCCTTGCTACCAAATGGTTGAGATAGAATTTGAATCCAGACTTTTATCATTTAATATTCTATTTCTTTTTCTTTCTTTCTTTTCTTCTTTTTTCTTTCATTCTTCCCTTTTTTTCAGGTTTTTGCCATAGGACACATGCACTCACTGAAGAGAGACAGAGAGATAGAGAGAGAGAAAGTGAGAGATCATCCCTGGGGGGAATGGCCATACCACAATCCTTTATCCATTCTCCTCTTCAGATTTTGGGCAAACATGCACATGCACCCAGTGTGATCTTTCAAGCCACTGGGTCCAGGACTTGAATCTCTATAGACTATATGGGAATCCAGCACCTTAACCACCTTGTCACCTGCTAGTACAATATGCTATTTCTTAATAACTACTGCATATTTGAGGGATATAACTGATTTAAAGGTGTGGATTATCTGCAGAGGTAAAGAAGAAAAAGGATCTAGAACAACTTTGGTAATGATAATGGCAGGAAACATCCTCATGTGGCCAGATGCTATGCTCAGCAGTTCACATGCATTAATGTTTTCAGTTCTCCAAATAACTCTAGAACGGTAGGCTGTTGTTATCCTTATTTTACAGAAGCAGAAACCATGTCATCAAGACAATATGTAACTCTACCCTTACTTAGATTCTCAGAATTTTTATCTTTATTGTATACTAGAATCACCTGGGGAAATTTGTATATACTAGAGTCACCTGGGGAAATCCATAAAAATACCTATACTTGAACTCATCTCAAATCAATCAAACAGACTCCTTAGGGGAGGGCCTGGGGGTTCAAATTTTTAAAAGCTCTCCCTGTGACTCTGTTGTACAGTCAGCTTTAGAACTTCTGGTTGATACCTTTATAGTTCTTAGTACTGTTTGAAGGAAAATAACAATCTCACATGAGATTTTTTTCCCCTAGATTTAATCACAGAGGTCAATAATTACGAGCCTTTGAGAGCACTTCCATCCTGGGCGCAGAAGAGGGAAGGAACCATGCACTTATTTGGACAAACTATAATGAAAGGCAGACCTTATGCTAAACATGTTACCTGTCAAATCCCATTCTGTGTTCACTCTCGAGCATGTATATGGGGAATTGCGAAAAATGGAGAACTTATGTAACTAAAAATCTATTTGAAAAGACAGAGCAAGAAGAAATATTTTACAAATACGCTTATAGAATAAGGATTCACCAAGAGCAAATGAACATGGCTCAAAGGGAGGGTTCGTTGATTCAGAGGGAAATAACCAGCTGCCCTGTACAAATGTGGGAGATGTTTCCAAGGTGGGAGCAATTAGGCTGAGCCCCAACCCCATGGAATGAACAAACCTAGTTTGTCTTGAGGTAATTTAACTTGATATATTCACACACAGCTTCCAGACACCTGTCAGCACAGACTTAGAGGTGGGATGTGTTAAAAAAATCTTCTTGCTGTCTTGCTCTTCAGAAATCAAGATAATATGTTTGGACTTGAGGTCTGTGAATCATCCCTGATGCTCTGCCTTCGTTGGGTATTTATATGACTGCCCACTGTTCCATAGATGGAGCACTTGTGTATTAACTCAGCCTTGCTCACTGGACATCTCGGGACAGCATTCCGATCCCAGAAATCAAATACCACCTCCCATGTACAATTAACAAGACCATTAAATGTAAATTCATTTGAAATGAGCTAACTGCACGAGGAAGGTCTGGGTAGCTGCTGTAAGTAGTGGCGTTGCATGGAGAATTGGGGTTCTCTGCACATAGGAAGGACAGTGGAGTGTGCATGAGTACACCAGGTATCAGTACTAGGCATCTCTGATCACCATCACTAGATGGCTGTTGAAGCTAAGTGGAACCTTTGGATTGTCAATGCAGCTGCCTCAAGTGACACTGAGTGACTCCTTTGAGGTTCCACAGCCCAGAAGCAGTCACTGGAAACTTTCCTGAGAAGCATCTCAGTCTGGAAGAGTGTTCAACCTGGATGTGATTTGTCACTTGGATTTCTGGCTCCTGGGCATGGGAAAGAAGATATAGCATTTTTAGCAATTTCCCTGTATGAAGTCAGTTGAGTTACAATAAAAATCTTTCTACCTTAAGAAAAAATTATTAGTTTTTGCTACCATTGAAGAGATATTTACAACAAATAAAAAAAAAATAGGAACAGAAGCAAGAAGTGAGAAGAGAAAATAGGAAACCTTACTGCATTATAGAGAAAAATAATGAGAATGAGTGTCCCTACTGTGCAGGAAGTGCTATTAGAGCACTGACTTGTCAGGCACTGTTTCAGGCCTAGGGGAAATGCAGGTGGTTGGGATGGGAAAAGGAGGAGAGGAAAGAGAGAGTTACCCAAACATCAGTATTGCACAGCAGAAAAAGAGAATTGTTCTGAGAGTGGTGGTCTTCATAATGTGTTTTGATTTATGATTGCTTAGTTGTTTATTATTTACATGTACATTGTCTGTTTCTCTTATTTGGGACAATGCAGGCGGAGACTCTATTGTTTTCTCATGAATCCACAATGTACATTTGATTGACTTGAATATTTGAGGTTGTAATCATGGAAGATGGGAGGGAGAAGTCTACTTGGCCTTGGTTGGGCTGGTTTGGTTGCAGATGGGGTCAATTTTAATCCAAGGTGTGTGGCCAGGTGTTAGCAGGCAGAGACAGAAAGGTGTTCTCAGCAGAAAGAACAAGCAAAGATGTGAAGGTAGGGATATACAGGCATGTTTCTGGAACAACTGACAGTCTGCTAGGAGAGGAGACTGATCCTGAGTGCTTCAGAGAGAATTTTTGTCCTGGGTCTGAGGTCAATGGAGGTTCTATATAAGAACAGAACTATGTTTCAAGAAGTTGTATGGAGAGGATATTGACAAGGATTATCATAGTCCCAAGAGAGGGACCTCCTGGGCTTGCAGAAGGGTGATTGGAAGAGACGTTTCTGAGGCAGGCTGTCTAACACTAGGTCACCTGGTG